ATTCAGAAGATATTGAAAAAACTGCATTTAGAACACATGATAGGCACTATGAATTCATGGTGATGCCATTTGGTTTAACAAATGCTCCTGCAACCTTTCAATGCCTTATGAACGAGATTTTTACACCACATTTAAGGAAATTTATTCTAGTTTTCTTTGATGATATTTTGGTCTATATGTCCACATGGCAGTTGCATTTAGAACATCTCAGGGTGATCTTTGGTACATTAAGGGATCATTGCTTATTTGTTAAGCAATCCAAGTGTGCTTTTAGGAAGTCTTAAGTGTAGTATTTGGGCCACATTATGTCTAAACATGGAGTTTCTGCAGATCCTACAAAGTTGAAGATAATAGCACAATGACTAGTTCCTAAGTCTGTGAAGGAACTAAGGGGATTTTTGGGTCTAACTGGATGCTTCAAGAAGTTTATCCCTCACTTTGGGAGAATAATTAGTCCATTGATTATTCTGACTAAGAAGGATGGGTTTAAGTAGACCCTAGAAGCTACTGAGGCTCTTCTCACCCTGAAGAATGCAATGTTGTCTTCATAAGTGCTTGCCTTACTAGATTTCAGCAAACCATTTGCCATTGAGACAGATGCTTCAGAACATGGCATTGGTGCAGTTCTCCAACAAAATGGTAGGCCAATTGCTTTTACGAGCAAGGCCCTTTGTCCAAGAAATCAAACATTGTCATCATATGAGAGAGAAATGTTGGCAATTCTTCATATAGTTCACAAGTAGCAGTCTTACTTAGTTGGCAACCACTTTATTATTCAAGCTGATCATCACAGTTTGAAGTATTTCCTTCAAGGTTTAGCACACACTCAATTTCAACAGAAATAGGTGACCAAACTCCTAGGATTTGACTGTGAAATCCAGTTCAAGCAGGGGTGCAACAACCAGGCAGCTGATGCTTTATTGAGATCACCATTGACAACTATTGATCCTCAATTGCATGCTCTATATGAGGGAGAGTTACGAGCTATTTCATATCCATATTCTCAGTGGATTGATGATTCAGTATGGATTTAGAGAAAGACCAATGGATTATTTTGAAGATTCAGAATCTTGGGGCTACTAAGGATAATAATGTACCTATTGCTAATTTGAAATTCAAGGTTGATAATGGTTTTCTCAAGTATAAGGGTCGAATGTATTTAGTCCTACCAGTACTTAGAGGGAAAGAATATTCTCGGAGCACCATGCTACTCCCAGTGCGAGCCACAATAGGCTTTTGAAGACTTAAAAAAGAATATCTCAATGCTTTTACTGGAGGGAATGAAGAAGTTTATTAGGGAGTTGGTAGCTTGTTGTCCTACCTGTTAACAAAATAAATATGAGACCTTGGCACCTTCGAGATTGCTACATCCTCTCCCTATTCCTACTAGGGTTTGGACTGATATCTATATGGACTTTATTGTAAGTCTTCCTCCTTGTAAAGGTAAATATGTCATTTGGATCGTGGTTGATAGACTTTCCAAGTATACTCATTTCACAGCCAAGTCACCCCTATTCTGCATCCATGGTAGCACAGTTCTTTGTTGACAATATCTTCAAATTATATGGAATGACTCAATCAATAACAAGCTAATTTTCTTAAGCAAGTTTTGGAAAGAATTCTTTCGTTTGCAAGGCTGTTCTCTTTGTTATAGTTCAGGTTACCATCCATAATCTGATGGTCGGACATAAATGGTTTACAGATGCCTTGAGACGTACTTGAGATGTCTCTACTACTTCTAACCGAAGAAATAGGCTCTTTGGCTTTCTTGGGCTGAATGGTCTTATAATACCAGTTGTCATTCAGCTACAAAAATGACACCCTTTGAAATTGTGTATGGTCAAGCTCCAAAAACAATTCAAGCTTATGAGGTTGGCACTACTAAGGTGGATTTAGTGGATTAGTCCTTCAGAGATAGGGACATAATGTTGACCTTGTTGAAAAGCAATCTAGCACTTGCTCAAGGTAGAATGAAGGTACAAGCTGATAAACACATGTGTGGGAGAATTTTCAATTTTGGTGATTGGGTTTACTTGCGGCTAGTTCCATACCAGCATTTATCATTAGCCTCTCATCCATTCCACAAACTCCAACCAAGCTTTTATGGTTCTAGCTAAGGTGGGACCTGTAGCTTACAAGTTGTAGTTACCTGAGCATTGTAAGTTGCATCCTGTCTTTCATGTATCTTGCCTAAAGAAGCAATTGGGAGCTAATGTTCAAGCTACTGTGAATTTGCCAATCATTACATATTTGGGAATACTTAAGGATGCACTAGTGGCCATTTTGGATCGCAGAATGATAAAAAAGAACAACACTGCAGTAACTGAGGTGCTAATGCAATGGCAGAACCACTCGAAAGAAGATGCAACTTGGGAACCTTATTAGGAATTAAAGCTCAAGTTTCCATAAGTGGTGCAATTGTGATGATCAATTGGCGAAGTGTCCTTTCTACCATTAGTTTACAAATTCTGTTGTATTTCTATTGTTGTTCAGTACAATTGGGACAGTACCACTTATGTTTCGAGCGGGGGTATTGATAGGACACTCTAATAGCATCATAAGATTGTGACAAGTGTATGGTGGATATGAGTTAGTTAGAGGTTGTTAGAGAGTGTTGGAGGGTAGTTACTATAAGAAGAGCATTGTAATTGATAGTTGGATAGTTATGGAAATAATAGTGGAATTATGTTAGTCATTCTCCCTCTGTGCAATCACGAAGACATAGAGCAAGGAACCTATCAAAATTTCTCATAGCTTCTCCGGACTCAGATAGGATAAATAAATGTGGCTTGCCACCAGTTATCCCCTTTTGTGCATAAAAAGTTGAGGAGGGTTAGAGTGACACATGTTCTTTACTCTTTGGAGATGCCCTAATATTTTCCATGGACACGTTTACCTTTGAGGTCATGAATCAGCTTAACCTGAGTAGCTCATGAACTGCCACAGCCGATTGTCCATTACGTATATATGGTGCCCTAGACTTGCCCTAGACTCATAGGACACTTTTATTCAAGCCACAAGCCATTAGGGTATGTGGTCGTCAATAATCTAGTTGAACTGGCTTGTGACATGCATATATGTACGTCAATTTGTAAAGTCTGATGGAACTAAAGATTCGTTGGATACTAATCCATGTGGTAGGCATGGTCAAGAATCAACTGTGTGCCCGGCCATTAGGGCTCTCTGTACACAAAAGCAAAAGCAACCAATTCAAATCTCCTTTTTCTTCACCAACAATATTTCTTTTGATTTGTTGTGGTACTTCGCTTTTTGATCTCTCCTGCTTTCACATGGATTGCTCAAACTTTATAATTTTCTTCTGCCAAATATGTCGCAGCTATGCAACCTCCATGCCACTATTCCATTTTATAATTTCCAAGAATGGTAATTTCCCTTTGACATTTTCTACCAAACAAGTAATGTGGGCATCTTTCTTTTGCTTTGTTTCATTCACCAGTAAAACAGCCAAGACTGGGAACATTTTTTTTTAAGGGTATCACGATCACATGAGGACTACTAATCCTCCTCCTCCTCCCAAGCCTTAGATATAAATCATGGCAGATGCGATGCAAAAGATGAAAGCTGTCTAGATCTCCCTAAATTACAACCAATACTTTGGACACACAACAAAAGTAATGTGGGAGTTGCAGCTTTGCCATTAAGTAATCAACCGAATTTGCATTTCCCGAACCAGTTAATTAATTATAAGGGGCACATATATATATGATCAACAACCTTATAAAGCCAGATTTATATGCTATATATGTGCATGCTTGCTCTAAACCATCAAATTGTCTAATCAACATGGAAAGAAAAGGCTGGATTCTAAATAATTTGTTTCGGAAAGTGGAAAAAAGAAGACTTTAAAATTTTGTTCTGCTTAAGCTAAATTTGTTAGAAATGCACTACTTATGTGGAAGGATTTATAAAATGACCTCAAAACTTTCAAGTCATTTGTTCAGTTTCTTTGCAGCCCATTTGTAATCAACTAGAGAACATTTGTAGTGTTTGAATAGCTCATTGTAGTCTTCTCGCGATGTTTTTCAACCTCTCTTAGAAATAAAATCTTAGATTTGAGACTTGGAATGGCCTCCATATCCAAACATAATATAATAGATCTTATATCATTTAAGCTATCTCAAATTGCTCTATAATTTTAACTTTATTGACAGCATTATTTGTACTTTTTTAAGGGGATGCAGAATACTATTGGTTTACTACTTTTTACCTTTCTTTTTAACTCCAATTCACTGGAACTACCCACTCTCAACTCCATAAACCATATAGAATCCCATGAAAGTTGGAACACATAAAAGAGAATCCCATGAACCCCCGACCTTTCCTTTGTTACGGTATGGAGATAACAATAACTAACAGCGTCCCTTCAAAGCAAATACACATGTATCTCCATTCATAGATCAACCTTGCAAAAATTCAATACAATCTAAAATTATTTGCCTATTTAATTATCAAGATAAAATTTCATTGTTTCTTATATAATAAAATAATCGTTAATTTCTTTGAATCCAATTAAGTGTCTTCAACATTTCCGGTTTAGTTAATATTTTGCAAATATGATCTATAAGGTGCAACTTGAAAAATAGACAGTTCGGATAGTTAAAATTCGATATAGTTTAAATCCCACAACTAATTCTTATTTTTATAAAAAATAGGGATTCTTTCTATTAAAAAATTTCTCTGTATATGTATATCTCCACCATTTTTCAATAGAAACCCAATTCATCATCTTCTATTATTGTTGGACGCCCATAATTCACGCAACATTAAAATATAACCAGGCCCTGTCACTGTCTCATTACAGTTTACCCCCATAAAAATCGGAAATACTCGTCCCACAGCTAAAAGCAAATGGGACGTCACTTTGTAGTGTTCGTCACTGGTTGGTTATACTTCTCCATTAATCATTACATTATTGTTTCTGATCAATCAACAATCGGCTTGGTGCTCCAGACCCTCAGCACTCATATATCTCAGCTTAGGCTTGCTCAAGCCCAGCCAAACTCTAGTTCTCACGTCATCAAACCTCCTAACCATTGGCTCCCACGCGTTTTTCATATGGGCTATTGACACGTGTCCTTAGTGGATCCCAGCTAGCCTCTTGTTTCTTCGTGACTAAGCTTAAATATCGAGCTTTTTTGGGGACCCACCGACGGCTACGTCACACCAAGTGTGGTCCTTTAGAACCCTAAGGCCCCACGCTGTATAGTGCCACCTGACTCAAAAGCAAAGCCCTGTACATATACGGCTTTCTTAAGCAATACGGTTCTGGACAAAAGTACCCTTGGTAGCCCAACTTAATTTCACCAATTGGTCACTCAGGTTCGGCTTTAAATCTGAAGCCCCAACGCTTCGTTCCTTCCCTTTCCTCCTCCCTCCTCCCTCTCTGTCTAGATTACAAGTTCAGAGAGTTTTTATTGTTGCAACCATGTTGTCTGCTGTTCCAGCCATGCTTCCCTCTGACTCCCTCCTCCATTTTCCCACTTTCGACGGGGGCTTTACCCCCGGCGGTTTCACCCCGTGGGATTGCTCGGAGCATTTTCCGGCAATCCCATCACCAATACCCGTGATCTCAACCCTAAGTTCATCTTTGGTTCAATCTCCCAAAACAGTAATTTTGAGTTCTGGTTCGGATGACGCCCCGAACCGGCCGGACCGGACCCATGCCAATGCAAAGTCATGCCAAAATGACGACTCGAACCGTACAGTTTCGGTGGTGGACGAGCGGAAGAGGAGGCGGATGATATCGAACCGGGAGTCGGCCAGGCGGTCACGGATGCGAAAACAAAAGCACATAGAAAACCTAAGGAACCAGGTGAACCGGCTTAGGGTTGAGAACCGGGAACTGAACAACCGGTTGAGGATCGTTTTGTACCATTTTCAGCTCGTACGGACAGACAACGATAGGCTCCGATCCGACCACGTTATGCTCCTGAAGAAATTGTCGGACATACGTCGAATTCTGGTTTTCCGACAGCACTTGTCTTCTGCGTGGCCATGCGATACCATTATTCCACAACAAACCCCATAATTAATTACGTAATTTATTAGACTAGTACTAGTAATATTATAAGTAGCTAAAAACCTCATTAATTTCTCAAAACAAGAACAATGAGCCATGCGCCTCTCTCCCTCTCTCCCCCTCTCCCTCTGTAAATTATATATAAAAGCCGCTAAGTGAATGGTGGCGTTATGTCTTATGGTGAATGGTGATTTTTGCAAAAAGGAAAAAGTAGGCTTTGGAAAATCATGATTTTCGTGTGGAAAACCTTTTGGGTTATTTACAATATATTTTGTAAAAATATTAGGCAACTAATGTTTTGTTGATGGAAGCATTTTGTAGTATTGTTTTTTTATTTTTATTTTTTGGAATTACCAAGTCTCAATCGTTTTTTTGTTTTTTCTTGCTTTCCACTACTAGTCCACTTTCGTACGTAAGGCTACAAATTAGTGTCGGTCGCGCACAAATAATTCCCTCTCTATGCAAAACGCTGAAACGTGCCAATGTTTTCCCATTTTATATCGTGCAGATTGGGTTTCATAAGTTAATTAATTAATTATACTATGATGTTGGAGCTCTTTTGGATAATTCGTATGCACGAGAGCACTAAACTTGAAATGGACGAACGGGAAAAGAAATTACAAAGTTGCAAACGAATCTCTTCAAAGAATAAAAGAAATTACAAACGAATATTCTAAAGGGTTAATATTGTCTTTAAAACATATAGACCACTTCAACAATAAATAGAGATGCCAAAATCAGTAGTCAAGCAATGGACTATTACTTTTTAAGGAGTTCACTTTTTGAATAGTGAACAATGTCTTTTACTCATTTAGGGGCATGTTGGTTATCAAGCATTCAAAATGCAAATCCAATGAAATTAAGGAAGAATTATTCATACTTAGCAATATTTTTGTTTTTCCCTTGTTGTGTTATCATACACTCATCTAATATTAATCGCACAATTTCTTACAAATGATATCCACTTATGTTTGTTTATATAATGATCATTGTTACAAATGACGGATCGTCTTGGTGATTAGGGTATTTTTTTTAATTAACTGTGTTACAGGTTCAAACCCTCCCACTTCGGCTCCTTAAAAATAAAAATATTGCTTGTATTAAATATATGTCTATGGTGATAGAACAACCAATACTCACCTAACAATATCTTTGTTCGTTCGAGAATTCGAAGAAATATTAGGATTCAGAATTTATTAAGAGTAATAACATCATCATACTATGTAATTTAGTATTTATCGTATTAGTCAATAATTACAATCGAAACTTCAATTTTCACATCTAAAATTGGTTAGTCCACCCACTAGTTAATAGAAATTTCTATTACTAAAACAACTATAAAGTAATTTTCAAAAAAAAACTTTCACCAACATAAATCCAACAAATTAATATGAAATGGCAAGAAAAAAGGAAATAAAAGAAAACTCATGGACTTCAGTGTAACAAATGTGTCTCTAAGATAGTCATTATTCTATATTCTTCTTTTTACATATATTCAAATTTTAATCTTAAGCAAGTACATACCTTCACTCTCTTGAATTGATTGATTTTGGATTAAGTGCAAAGAAAATGAGAGCTTTGGTAGAAAAATAAAGTGATTAAGGACTTTAATACTATATTTTGAGGAGAAGGGGGCCACAAAGTTTTTTTTTCTCTGAATTTTTTTATGAGAAGTTGTGATCAGTGATGCAATCCAATCAGTGTATCACAAAAAAGAATGAGGATCCTCTTTGGATACTCTTTGTGAGGATTTCGAGAATTCTCCAATAATGTCCGTTAATCGTACATTGTGCAGCCAGTTTTTGGCAGGTACTGTTTATATTTAATTTTAAATAAAAAAATATAAATAATTTCTGACCACACGATGTACAATGAACGAATATGATTAGAGAATCCTTAGGATCCTCAAAAAGTGGATATGGAGAAAATCCTCATTCCACGAAAAAAAAGGAGCCATCATGACCCCATATTAAGTACGCTTTATTGAGTAAAACTTTACATTTAAAAGCAACACAAACAGAAGATAAACCTTCTTACCTTTTATTTTTCTCTCGTTTATCTGGTGACAAATTGTGCTATGCTACTAAGATGACATTTCACTATGTTTGTAGTCTATAACAAGTGGTGGACAAATCCCCCAATCTCTCAACAAAACCGATCAAACCGAATAGGCTGGTACACTTTGATCTGCTCTCCCCTTATAATTTCAAAATTGATAACAGTATAGGATCAATGGATGAAATAGTGCTACGTGTCAATAGATTACATAGTCTGTTATAAGTTTGTTAGAGTGTTAGCTTAGCCTATTAGGCATTACAATGTATACATATAGTGTAATGTACTCTCTGTAAGATCATTGCGTTAATACAGAAATTCTTTCTTCTTCCTCAAGTCTAATACTTTCTCTTTCTAAAAATATCTTATTGTTAAACATTACTGCAACACTCTCTATTGCTTTACATGGTATCAATTGCTGGAAAAGCTTTGGCTTTACAGTTCTCTAATCTTTGTTTTGTTGCTTTCGCTCCCTCAACAGAGTTTGAATTTTGGATTCCTATTTCTTCAACCTTGTGCTTTCTTCTGATGTTAGGGTTTCTGTTCTTCCCCAATTCTACGAAAATCTCTTCTTTCTGTCACGCACTCCAGGTGTTTGATTATATTTCTCAGTCAATCTGTGTCTGCTGAGTGCAATACCATTCGATCTATCATCAGGGGAAGAGAAAATGTCATTTCCATTGAAGATATAAGGTTCCAGTTGCTTGCTGAAGAGGCAATGGTGGAGAATACTTCTATTACTCCTTTCTTGATTGCAATGGTTGCTCGAAACAGTGAAGCTGCTCTAAAAGGGTCATCTTTCTCTATTCAAGGCAGTTTTGGAGGATCATCCTTCTCCAATTAAGGTAATCACTATTCTTCTGGAGGATCTTCAAATAGGGGATCTTATGGAAATCAAGCTACTTACTTCAAGAATAGTTACAACAAGAACAAGGGTAAAGGGAAATACAACTACAGTTATAATTACAGATTTGGAAATTCAAGAAATGGATATAATAATGTTGTTCCTGGCATACTTAGTACTCATCCATAATCTCAATCAAATCCACCTGTCAATTTTATGGCAAGTATGGACATTTAGCAGACATTTGTTGATTCAAAAATGCTAAGCTTATCATTGAAGGATGTTAAATCTATGGCAAGAATAATCATAATGCTTAGTTTTGTCATTTCACGAATGCCGATGTCTCTCAATCTTCTTCTTAGATGATTGCAATGCATGTGGCTCCATATACACCTCCCATGAGTCTTAATTCTTTTTCTCAACAAATTTGGCTCACAAATTTAGCAGCAACCAATCATATGACTGCTGACTTGCAGAATCTATCCATGTCTACACCATATCCAACATCTAAGACTGATGATGTTTGGTGTATAAATGAGATGATCGTCGACGATGCTTTAATAGATGCAGTAACTACTAAGATCATGTTGAGCGATGACATTGAACCCTGTTTAATTGATGAATGTCAGCATAAAACCGATTGGTCAAAGTGGAAACAAGCAATTCAAGTTGAACTTGATTCGCTTGCGAAATGTAAGGTGTTTAGACCTGTAGCTTTTATTTCTCCACATGTGAAGCCTGTTAGCTACAAGTGCGTTTCGTTCGAAAAGTAATGAGAATAACAAAATTATGCGTTATAAAGCTCATCTTGTTGTGCAAGGCTTCTCACAACACCCCAGGATTGACTATGACTTATTTGCCCGTTATGGATATGATTACTTTTCACTACCTTATCAGTTTGGTAGTTTCCAAGTTTGCGGCCGATGGACGTAGTAACTGCGTATCTTTATAGAGGTTTTGATACAAAAATATATATGAAAGTTCCCGAATGACTTACATTGACTGGATCAAATATGTCCAAACCCCAGAATAGGCTTTTAATTCAGCTGAGGCGTTTACTCTATGATTTGAAGCAATCTGGAAGAATGTGGTATAACCGTTTGAGTGAGTATTTAACTAGTCAGGGATATATGTACAATGAACTATGCCCTTGTGTGTTCACTAAAAAGTCACATACCAGTTTTGCGATTATTGCAATTTATGTCGATGACATGAACCTCATTGGAACTCCTAAAGAGCTCGAGAGAACTGTCGTGCACTGAAGTCAGAATTTGAGATGAAAGATTTAGGAAAGACTTGATACTGTATGTCACATCTCGGCCCGGGCCCCCACCACATCCCGAGCTTGACTCCACCGTAGCATGATATTGACCGCTTTGGGCCTCGACCACTCCCTTACGGTTTTGTTTCTGGGAACTCACACGAGAACTTCCCAATGGGTCACCTATCATAAGATTACTTTCACGTGAACTCGCTTAACTTAGAAGTTTTCATGAACTCCGAAGCCAATGAGCTCCCAAAGGCCTCGTGTTAGGTAGAGATGGGAATATACATATATGGCTTACAGGATCCACTAGCCTGGGCGATGTAGGATGTTATAATCCACCTCCTTAGGAACCCGATGTCCTTGTCAGCACACATCCGACTAAGGATTGCCTCTGATACCAAATTGCCAAATCCTGGTCCAAGCCCCTACCACATCCCGAGCTTGACTCAATTGTAGCACGATATTGTCCACTTTGGACCCCGACCACGCCCTTATGGTTTTGTTTCTGGGAACTCACACGAGAACTTCCCAGTGGGTCACCTATCCTGGGATTGCTCTCACATGAACTCGCTTAACTTTAGAGTTCCGATGAACTCCAAAGCTACTGAGCTCTCAAAAGGCCTCGTGTTTGGTAAAGATGGAAATATACATATAAGGCCTACAGGATCCACTCCCATGGGTGATGTGGTATGTTACATTGTCTCAGTTTTAAGATAGAGCTCCATTTGGATGGAATCTTAGTACATCAATCAAACTACACCCAAAAGGTGTTGCATCGCTTTAACAAGAATAAAGTGAAGCCTTCAAGTACTTATATGGTCGTTCGATCACTAAATGCAAAACGAGATCCATTCCGTCCGAATGAGGATAATGAAGAGATTTTAGAGCCTGAAGTTTCTTATCTAAGTGCGATAGGTGCTTTATTGTACCTAGTTTAATGCACTAGACCCAACATCTCCTTCACTATTAATCTTTTGGCAAGATATAGTAATGGACCAACACGCAGACATTGGGCTGGCGTTAAAGACATTTTCTGCTACTTTAAGGGTACCACGAATCTGGGCTTGTTCTATCCCTACGAATCCTCGACTGATGCCGCATCCTCTTATCTCGAGTTGATTCTCACCTTGTTGGTTATGCCAGCGCAAGATACTTATTTGATCCGCACAAGGCTCATTTTCAAACGAGTTATGTCTTTACCGTTGGAGGCATGCAATCTCTTAGAGGTCAACTAATTAGACCTTAGTTGCCTTTTTATCTAACCATGCTAAAATTCTCGCCTTACATGAAGCAACTCATGAATACTTTTGGTTGAGAATAGTTGTGGGCCATATTCGAAGCTCCTGCAATCTACACCTATCGTTGACGTCCCGACGATCTATGAAGATAACGAAGCATGCATCGAATAGCTAAAGAAGGGTAACATCAAATTGCGCTGAAGTCCTTCTTCTCACATCAACAACAAGAGCATCAGAAGATTGAAGTCACGCAAATCCATTCACAAGACAATTTGGTCGACCTCTTCACCAAATCACTACCGAAGGTGATGTTTCAGAAGCTTGTTCAAGTAATTGGTATGCATAAACTTTTTGAGTTGTAACATTGTTAGTTCTCTTTGTAATTATGTTGAACTCAGGAGGAGTATCCTGAAGTATACTTACTTGATCTTAATGTACTCTTTTTCCCTATGATTAAAAGCATTTTTCCCACTGGGTTTTTGCTACCTAATGAGGTTTTGACGAGGCACCCACCTTAGGTTGATTATATCCCTGATGATGTCCCGTGGACGTTTCATTTTACTTTGCATTTCTCAAGCATTTTTTCTTAGACTATGGATTGTTTCCCTACTCGGGTTTTACCATAGCCATAGGGTTTTTTGTGAGACTTAGTTCCATATGCAAGTTTCTACTTTACTTTGAGATTAGCGTGTTCCCAGAATTAGTGTCGACGAGTCAACTTCCTCAACTTTAAATCCTAGATTAGATTTTATTCTAGTTATTCTTCCCTATTAGGACTTGTATTTCTTGGAGGAGAAGGATTTTTTCCCTCCCTTATTACTATCAATATAGGCATTGCGTAGGAGGAATAACACATCTTCTACACAACCCTACAAACACATATCTCTCCCTATTCTCTCTCTGTGTTGCTAGCTCTATCTCCCTGTCAGTTAAATATAGGCCACAACAATTTATTTTATTTTTTTGTGAGAAAATTTTTAATTCTTTTTATTTTTCTTTTTTATTTTTTTTTTATTTTTTTATTTTTTGCTGAAAGAACAAAAATTTAGAGTAAGTTTAATGTAAAGGGCAATCTTAGAATTTAAAAACAAGTGAGGGGATAATGGGGAGAAAAAATGCATTCTGATTGCCCTAACAACCCAGAATTCAATTCCCTAAATTTTAGAGTTAGATTCCAAAATGCATAGATCATACCAATTTTTTTATTTCCCATTATTTGGTAAACACTAGAATATCATGCAATCAAAAATTCAATTCTACTTTTTTATTCCAATTACCCGAACATAATTGTGCCATTAGTGTTTCGAAATGGGCCAAGCTACAGTGGATTTCTTGTGTCAATTGACATGTGGAAGTAAGTCTTCAATATTTTTTGTTTTTTGGTTTTTTCACTTTTTAAAGCCAATCGTATCAAATTATTTAAGGAAACTTTCACACCTACTCATTTTTCCTATCTTATTATCCTCATAAGAAAATGAAAAGGTAGTCATACGCTTTTCCCTTTCAGTTTATCTCGAAAATGCCCTTTGCATGGCGAGTAAATCTGATGACTCTAGCCTCCGCTCACTGCCAACCTTCTATTCTATTTTCCTTTCTTGTCCGCTTATAATTTTAGAATATGGTCATTGCCTAGCCGATTGCAACTCCTCTCCCTTTGCTCTCTCTAGACTCCGAGATCCCAGATCAAAGTTGAGCACATCATTTATGTTTTATTAAGTACTTTTCAAGTACAAAGTTTCCGTTGAGCCAGTACATGGATGCCTAGCAAATGAAATGACTCTAGGAACAAAATTGTAACCTTTATTTTGGTTTTAATGATTTTGTTGCCATGAACTTTTATAGTGATTGAATAATTTATTTAAAAAAAGACCCATTCATGGGTTTGAATAAGAGTAGTCAAAAATGGTATTGAGATTGTTTAGTAAGTAGGCTAGAGTAAATAGATTTATAAAAAAAATAAAATGTCAAAATACCCTTAAATTTAACATTTCTTTAATGGAATAAGGTGAAGTGAGACTAAAAAGAGTTAAAAGTGTCAATTTCAGGGGTAAGATGAGACAAAATAAGTTTCAAGAGGTAAATTGAGACTAAAAGGCAGCTTCATGGTGAATGTCAATTAATAAGCCAAAAATAAGACATTAGAGTATCTCCAAAGGAGATATCAAAACTTATCACATCCCGGCCCGGTCCCCCGCCACATCCCGGGCTCGACTCCACCGTAACATGATATTGTCCGCTTTGGGCCCCGACCATGCCCTCACGATTTTGTTTCTGGGAACTCACACGAGAACTTCCTAGTGGGTCACCCATCCTGGGAATGCTCTCGCCTGAACTCGCTTAACTTTGGAGTTCCGATGGAACCCGAAGCTAGTGAGCTCCCAAAAGGCCTCGCGCTAGGTAGAGAAGAGAATATACATATAAGGCTTACAAGATCCCCACCCCTGGGTAATGTGGGATCTTACAAAACTACTAGATAGACATAGGATGGTAAAAAATGGCAGCAAACTCTAACAGGGCCTTCAATTTCTTATGTGGTGCTAAGGCAATTGAAGACAGACTTTTGTTGTCAAATTTGACATTCAAATTCATTTAATGATTTTTAATAGATGTGATGCAATATATAATAAATGTTGTTGTATATTCCAAGTATTTGATTAGTTGTTTCAATAATTGAACCCCACAAAGAAATGAAACAAATTATAGAATAACATTATTATTCAACACATCGGTGGAGCAAAAATTGTACAAAATGTAGAATTCTCATATAAGCCATTAAATATTGATTTGCTATTTAAAATTTTACATTTCATTTGAAGATACTCTTAGGATGATAATAGTAACAGTCTTATTTAATAGATATAAAAGATTGCTCATTTTAATAAACTTGTGGACCAGAAAATGAGATGGTTATGAAATGAACCATCTGTAGCTCAAGTTCTGCAAAATTTATCTCACTCTGGAAGTTGATATTCAAGATAAACATGTACAAACAAGAAAAATTTGATCATGTAAAGTTACTAAACCTCACTAGTGTTTTGTATTTATACAACTACATATTTAATTTACACATTGAATATTTAGTTGTATAAATACATGGTTTTCATTATAAGAAATTCGGTTTAGGGCCAATAAGTAATTTTGTATTTCATCATCATATGTCAATAGTCACTTTATTTTCATAGGTAAATAGATTTTTTTTTCCTTTTCAACTGTCACTTAACTTAATTCCAGAATCAAAAATATATTTTGACCTCAACTCTCAAGTGAA